TCTATGTAAAGTCCATCAACGAAAGACTGCTTTGGCTCCATGCTGGAAAGGCCCTTTTCAAGTCCTGTTAACCACCAACACCGCTGTGAAGTGCCAAGGACTGACTGCCTGGACCCATGCTTTTCACTGCAAAAAGACCCCTCCACCTCGGGAGGACTTTCTGACTGATGATAAGCCTATTTCTCCTTCTAGTTCTGCTGTGCCGTCTGGACAGCAGGAAAAAGGAAAAAAAGACAAGGTGAAGTGCTAGTAACCTCTCCCTTGTCCACTGACAGACCTACTGTTGCTTTGAATTTCTCTAGAAGACACAAAACCACTACAGGGTGATGTGCTAGTAACCTCTCCCCTGTATGATGCTGAACCATGACTGTTTCAGAAAAAGAGAAGAAGGAACACTTGCTTATTGAAACCACAAAGTCCAGGAATTCCTGACTACAAGAGACATTAAGAACTGACCCTGGTGAAGAAACAAAGAATTATACACTAGCAGAAAGAAACTTGTGGGACCCATTCTTGGGAATGTGGTATTGATTGGATTTTGGGGTTTATTCTACAGGCTGCGCCCTGTGTTTTGGATAAGTCCTTCAGTATGTATTGCCTTCCCTAATTGGATTTTAAATGACAAGTACCAAAGGCACCTTGTTGCCATTGCCCCTGCCATTTCCTTCATTACACTATTACCCCTGTAATACATCCAAATACAGACAATGACCCAGAAGTTGCTGACAGAGATGGTATTGAATATCACTGAGGCTGGGAAGGCATTGCAGTGGGATCTAGCATGTTCAGGCTTGGCCCACTGCCCTTACAGACACATCAGGAGTACCATCTGATCTGTGGCCATGGAGACATACTTGAAAACTTTCTGGGTGGAAGTGCAGACGTTCTCAGTGCTCCTTCCAAGCATATGGACCGGTAAAGGGGGTGTGGGCTCCCACATACCAAATCCTGCCGGGTCCATGGGGAGGATGCATGTGGGATTGGGTAATTCACCAAGACATCTGGGAAATTAGACTATCTGGTATGCCCAGTTAATTTTAGTCAGTGCTCCTGGGATTACACCTGACAGGACACTTACTTTTTCAAGCTAATGACAGCTGTGTGTATGTTAATGACACCACACTACAAGACATTTGGGCCCACCTGGCAGAAGTATTAAATCAATCTGATTTCTGCCTGGCCGTTGCCCCAAACATGCAAGGTCTGTTAAGTACCTGCCTTGTTCCTGTCTGCAAATCACCCAGTAACATCTGGGGTGTGAGACAGTGAAAGCAATGTGTTGTTTTAAGCTTACTAATAATAGTAATTGTATGTAATAGCAAATTGATATGCTGAAATGTTATGCTTAAGCCATTTGCTAAGGATGTTTTTCCTCCTTGGTGGAATTACATTTAGTTATAGCCACCCTTAGAGTGGATAGAGACCCTTTTATGGTATGAGGTCTTAGTTTTGATTTTTGGCGTTTTACTTGGCTGCTTTGTTTAATGCTTACTTAATTTAGTGGCGTTGTGTATGCTATCCTGTAAAGGTGCTTTGTCTAAACACAGCATATAAAATAAAATAGGGGGGGATGTAGGAATGTGTTGCTCCCTAATCATAAGCCTTGAAGAACGGCAAACTGTTCCCTCGGAATTGAGGCGGGAGTGACCTTGTTCTAGCGCCTATGTTTGGAAAACATATTGGCTAGCCTGATAGTACCTTTGCAGCTGGCTGTTCACGCGCTTAATAGATGAGTTTGCTATCTTGTATAATTGCACACTGCGTGTATCCTGCCTGCCTTCTGAATGGGCAAAGATGTAACCACTAAGAAGAGTTGTAAACAAAGTAAGGAGAGAAATAAAAACCCCAGGAAAAGTTTTCCTGGGAGGCTTTTGGCTTGAGGCTTTTTGCAGGAGGCTTGTAAAGCCCTCTGGCTACCAACAAACCTGGCGTTCTGTTTCCTTTCCTGCGTCGTCACCACTGCAGTCTGGCAGTGTGGAACTCTATCCTGCCAGCGTGTACTCAAGTAGGTGAGGGAACATGCAGGCTAGATTGAAATTGTCCTCGCACTATGGCTAAATGTGGCCCTGTATGTGGGAGCCTGAAGTTGCAATAAGGAACAAAGTCACTTTTTAAAACAACTACAGAATTCCTAGACAAAAAAAAAAAGCTTTGTAAAGCTGTAGTTAGACTGAAGTTACTAAGTTTTCACAGAAACTTAAAACAACTTTGCATTTTAAAAATCTTTAAATGCCTGAAAATCCAGAGTTAAGGTTCTACTTGAAAGCCAATAAACCCAAGCATTCAAGGTATGGAAATACACAGGTAATGTTGCCTGGGCAACCCTAACACTGCCATCCACAGACCAATCAGAAGCTTAGATACAATCTTATCCACCAAACATATACAGCCGTAATGCCTCAGGGTTCTAAAGTATAAAGAATACAATTTACCAGAATACTCTTAATCTTACAGGGTGAAATTCATTCTGTGCAGAGAGCCAGCAAAAGGCCTATGCACCACTTAAGCCAACAGACATAATAAATTTCACCCACTGTTTACATGCTGCAGTACAGTTGAAACTCAGCAGCACCCATTTACAGCACTCTAATCTCCTTTAGAGACATGCATACGCCACAGAAAAGAGACACTTTATTTTCTGAATCAAAATAAAGCAGACAGAGAACAATCATTTCTCATTTCCCAAAAGGTGCTGCTGCCACCACCAAGTATATTAGTATCGCTCAGAGGTGAAAGTAAGCCGGTATGGTATGGTACGGCGTACCAGCAATAGCCAGTACACAGCCGACCATACTTGCAGAGGGCAGCTTCCCCAGACTGGCAATTTAAAAGGGCCCTGGGCTCCGGGCAGCGGCAGGAACACCTGGCCCTTTAAATCGCCACCAGAGCCCTGCTGCCGGAGCCCTGGGGTAGCGGCAGCGGCCAGGAGCCCCGGACTAGCAGTGGTGGCCAAGAGCCCCACTGCTCCGACAGCGATGTAAAGGGCCTGGGGATTTAAAGGTCCCGCCCCTTCTGGTTGAGGCCCCGTGCTCTGCTCAGGACCCCAGCCCTGCATACCAGTAAGTCACTTTAAGTTACTTTCACACCTGGTATCACTGGACACAGATTTATATCTATAGATACAAACCTCCTTGATCCAGAGCCTTAAATTATGTTATTGTATGGTGGTGAAAGGTCGAGTGTTATAGACAAGTATGTATAAAGCCAAGTACCTGTTGTACAGTTTGCATATTGAGTATAATGAATGTGGACAAGTAAAAAGGTTGCCTTTGTACCTACAATATAAATTTTTAAAGACCATAGGGAAGAATACATTCTTGAAAACTTCTTAAAAGGAATTATCAATTTGAAATCTAGTAAATAATTATCATAATAATTAAAAAAAGTCAAAATGTAGTTTCAGGTTTTACCTGACCTTGAGTTCCTCTGCCAATTTTTGTGGTTTTACAATTTTTTAAAAATGTTTCTTCTCTATTGCTTTGTGTAAATCCACACAGTGAAACTACTAACAGTCTCGTTGCTTCACCTGTAGAGTCAAACAATACACAAAGTTTTGTCAAATTCACAAAGTAAAGAAACAGACATTAGAATGTCACTCTAATTTCATTCATTTATAGCATAGCCATAACCAGTAACATTTTCGGAGAGATGTGTTATTG